TCTCTAGTAGAACCGGATGTCCCTCTTTCTGGAAGGTGTAGATCCTGAAATTTCACATTACATAGAAAATGGACCATATATTTCATTTGCTATTGTTTCGGTTGTTCCAACAACAGCTACGACTGCCGCTATTCCTGAACGGGAGATTCCAAAGCTTCCACATCAGTGGAGCGATGAGGACAAGAAAAAAATAGCTATAGACACGCGTGTTCAGTCTATAATAGCTATGTCTCTTCCTGATGAGATATATCACTCAGTGATGAAACTAAAAACTTCTAAATCCATGTGGGATACTCTTTGTGTCCAATACGAAGGAACCACTCAGGTTCAGGAGACTAGAAAGATCAATCTAGTAAGACAGTATGAAAGCTTTCTCTGTGGAAAGTCCGAGACACTGTCTGAAGTACATCAAAGATTTAATTGTCTTCTTATTGATCCTAGGCCTATCGACAGGGAATATTCTAATTCTGAAACCTTGACTAAGTTTCTAGAATGCCTTCCTAAGTCTTGGGATACTTTTTCCATGTGTCTCAAGATGTCAAATGACATGTCCACTCTTTCTCTTTCTACCTTATACGGGATTCTGCTTAACCATGAGCAATCTCGTCAACTGAAAAGAAATCTTGTAAGAGATTCCAGGGAAATGAAAAGCTCTCCTTTAGCTTTGATCTCTAAAACTTCTTCAGTTGAAACTTCTACTCCTTTTGTCTCTTCTTTACCTCCCGTGGTCATCACGGAGATAGATTATTTTGAGGACATTTCTGAATCTGATTTAAACAGATTTTGATGAGTTCCTGGCACTCCTGACTAAGTCATTCAGGAGGTTCGCCAGTAAAAGCAATTTTCGCAGATCTCCTCAGCTATCCCTTAGGGAGAAGCCAAAGTCTGAAAGAATAGACAAGGTTTTAGCTGTCTGCTACAACTGTCATCGGCCCAGACACTTTGCAGGTGAATGCAGATCGAAGAAGACTGCGATGCCATCTTCTAAAGCCTTTTCCTCCTTCAGGACCAAAGATGATAAATACTTAAAACTGAAAGAGAAATACAAGAAGATGAAGAACAATCAGCGAAAGGCTAAAGGCCTTATTGCTGAAGAGCATGACTGGGCTGAATCATCTTATGACGAGGAAGATAAAGCTTATGTCTGCTTGATGGCCATTGATGTTGATGAAGGTTCTTCTAAAGCATCTACCTCTTCTGAGCCATCTTCTGTTACTCAGGTATGTACCCTGAATGAACCTTCTTCTAGTGTTTCTGCACTAGATACGCTGATGGTAGACCTTTACAATGCTCTCAATGGTAAATCTAAATCTGAAATGCTTAACATTGATCTTCATGAGCAATTAAAGATTTGTCATTCTAAGATCAAAGAACTGACCTCTGTTGAGGAAAATCTTAAAGATCAGGTTATTGTAAACCAAGCTATCACTGTTGAATGTGAGAAAGTTGTCGCTGAGCGTGAGCGAGCAATCGTTGAACTCAAGGCTGAGAAAGCTACCATTGAAGGATGGTGTAAAGCTTCCCTCAAGGCCTCTGAGATCATTAACGCTCAGATCCCTGCAAAGAAAACGACTGGTCTAGGATTCTCCTATGATCAGAAAGAATGTGTTAAAGACAAGTCCATGCTTAAATTTGGTACTTTTGTCTCTTCTATTCCTAACACTTCTTCCTCTCAGTCCTCTTCCTTTACTGAGAGTCATCTCGAAGGAACTCCTTTGAGTTCTGGGTGCAAAGACAAAGGTAAATCCACTGTCACAACATCC